CATGATATTTCATGCCCATGCATCCCACAGTTTCCAAGACCAAGTCTTATAATATATTAGACAAAGGAGATATCAAAGGAAATATCATACAGAGGAAATATCAAATTTTGATATTTCCTCTGTATAGTACAATATTGACCTAAGGGTATTAAACTTAGTTCTTATTCCTCTCCAGTGCCAGAAGATTTTACCTATGTGCAAAGGATTATATACCCAGAAATATTTTTTAATGTTTGTATTCTGCTAGTAATTATCAGTGAAATCAGAAGAGTTTGGACCACCCAGCTTATGTTGCTGGGGAGGGGCCGTCAGCCCTGTGGATACCAAATTCATGACTTAATGATATTGCTAGAATTGCTGAATCGTGCTTTAGAAAGCACACAAGAATTAAGGCAAACCTACTTCTTTACACGTTGATAAAGTTATTAAGAATGTCCAAGCTCCTCCATTAGCAAAAATTTAGTGGAATGACATTATTGAGCAATCTAATAGCATTGCAGTATCAAAAGAATGCCAGTACGTCCTTGTGTTTTGAGAATATTGGTAAACTGTATGGCTGTTAAGTTTCAAATTTTGCCATTTGTCGTGCTCCAGCCCAAAGCATGCCAAGCAGGCTGGTCATTTCATTGTTTAACTGCCCCACACTCAAAGGACACTTTTTGCATCTTCTGAGAACTTGGGGGGCCTTGGCCCCCTGGTTCCTATGCCCCTGGTTGACAGACAATTTCAGATGTGAATAGTGTACTTATTCACTACCGGTATATCAGCGTGCTCTGATTCTAGCCGTTGTTGTCTCTCAAACCATGATAACTCAAAGTTGAGCCTACCAATGTCTTGTTTATTTGAAGTGAAACAAAATTTTGTGTAATAGTGATTTACTGTATATATTAATTTAGTATAATTTTTTACAAATTATTCAACTAAGGTAACATATTGTTCTAGTCTTATTGTTCACCTATTCATTTATAATCTGTTTTAATAATTATTTTATAGCATATTATGTACAAATTATTGCATATTACTCTTTTGAAGCAGTGCTGTCATTAAGTTTACAAGTAGGTGGCCGAAAAATTATTGAACATTGAAGGCACAAGACTCCTAGAGGGGTCTGGGTTGGAAATGCCATTCCCTGCATTTGGGAAGGTATTTTACACATTCGCTGCATTTTGGAGGGTATTTTACAGAGTTCTTAAGATTACAAAACATCCTATCAAAGCCTGACCTGTTTGAAATAATTTAATCTTTTGTTTTAATTTTGATGTTCTGACTAGAGGAAGTAAAAGGTTTGTTTATTGCTTCACAGTTTTGTTTATATGAACTTTGTTCAGACAGAAGTAGGCAAGATACAGGCCCTTAATGACAGCTCTGGGTACAAAAACCCCACAAAAGTTCTCACTAGATTACTTCTGTTTTATGTTACGGCAAGGCCTTTTCTAATCCACGATACCATTTACTCCTCTGACCAGTGTGTGACGACCAGCAATGTTACCTGGCTCCAATTGTCGATGTAGAGAGGTATGCTTTTCTGGGGTAAATTAAAGGTAGGAATAGCACCAGCTACAAGCCTTTTGCAGGTGGGAACTAAAGCAGAACATAAAATACCTGATTATATATACAGTAAGTTGACTTAATTTATACAAGTATTGTTAAGATTAGTAATTATAATAAAATTCACAGCAAACAAGATTTATAATAACTGTAAATGGGGCTTTCATATACTATGACATGGCCAAACAAAAATTCTGTTACTTTATTATGCCAGTTTCTTGCTATTAAAATAGCCTTTGAATATTGTATAATACTTTGTTTACTGTATACGAAAATGTTTCTACTGTCCTCAGTGACAGTGTCCTGAATAATATGTATACCTTCATTTTATGAACACAAGGGTTAACTGTTATATAAATATGACCTAATGACCGAAACGCACTTTTATGCAAATCATTAATATATTTAATATATTTTTCCTGCTCTATGACCATATGGTTAATACAAATTTGATAATTTGATACATGAAATATATACAATACTTCTGCTAAGTTGTAACTTTCAAGCGGTCATACCGAAATATCAATACCTCTACCAGAGAAAGAAAATAACTTACATGTTTCGGCTGGGTCTTTTCAAAGTGTCTTTCACAAACGTGAAGTGTTTGTTGAGCGATTTGATTTCTTAAACTTGCATCTATCTCTCGATCCAGCGTCCTTTGTGACAAGCCTCGCCAACGCTTCGCGAATTTTCGTCGATAAATCGTCGTCTTTTGTTGGATTTCAAAAAATACTGAGACCAAAGTGTTTTCTACTAGTCCCGCAACCATGTTGGAGCAATTTGCACCTGGTATTTGGATATCCTTTCTGTAAAAGACGTTTTTCAAGTACTACAGCCTCCTCTGTAATACAATCTCCTATTACAAATAGATTTTGATGCACCCGTATTGTCACGTGACAGAGAACAATAACATAATTTCGCCACGCCCCCAGCTTCCAAACCCTGTTCTCTATTAACTATGATTCTTCCAATGTATATATTCATCAATTAATCGTCCTTTCCTAATAAAAATTAATAACTATAGTTCTCAAGATCCCTTATATTATTTTTACATGAAGTACTCAGTTATAGAATACCGCTGGGAGAAAATATTATATAGCAAAAGGTTCATTAAGCAAGAATTCCAAGTCAGCGTCTTCCCTGCAGCACTAAGTTGAATCAACATGAACGAATTGCGTTTTATTCAAAAGTACAAATAGAGACAATCAGGAGCCAAAATTATTGAGACAACCGCATAAATACCCCCTCACCCCCAATTCAATGTTGTGTGGATGACTGAGAAAATTCAACCCACTTTTTCCAACATTGATGATGGGGGCAGGGGGGAGGCAGACGTACTTTAAAATGGCCAAAAATGTGAAAAGTCTCATTATTTTTGCACGCGATTGTCTGAAATGGGGCTGTCTGGGGTTAGCTGTCCAAAATTTGAAATTTTGCCAAAATCTAACGATCAAGATGACATGAGATTGACATATTTCAATCAATCAACCGAAATTTTTTTGTCGCCCAAATATAGAAATTCTGCAAGGAGGCTGCGCGGGGGGGGGAGGGACCGGGCAAAAATAAAGAAGCTTTTCTAACGATCGAATTTAATTTTTTACTATCATTTAGTTACTAGAAAAAATCTTTGGGAAAATAGACAAGTTGTAGGCTAAACACGATCTATTAAAATACTTTATGATATAGTAACAACCAGGGTTGGTAGGTTGCTGAATAAATAAGCCAAACATTGTTATAAGCGGCCCTTTCATGTCTTTGTTTCGAACAAAGGAAACAAAGGTTATGATAATAATATTTGGCTTATTTATTCAGAAAGTTACCAATCCTGGTAACAACACATCCAATAAGCCATAAAAATCTATTGTGGTCTTTTAACTACTCTTACGTCCTTTCAAGCTCGATTAGCCATCATTTCCTCAGGAACTCATCATTCATCATCTCTCATCATTTCCTCAGAACGGCGCTCCGCGCCGTTTGCTCGGGGATAATAAAAATGAGAATTATCGTCGTGTTGCCATGGCAACACTGATGTAAACGCGAGCCTGCGTTCAATGTTGATACTAATACTAATACAATTACTAATACTGCATGTTAAATCAATGTTCACGCCTGACAAAAATGCATGCCAAAGTGCCAACGTGCTTCAATTTCTTTAATTTTCGTCCTGTTTCTACAAAATTTCCCATAAACATAGGGCGCTATTCTATTTAATGGCCTGACCGATCAGACCCGAATTATTTTCTCTGTATCAATGGAAAGATCTGGTCTATATTTCTCAAATGTCTAGCGAAAATGGACCTCATTCTAATGTTATCAAAATGTTCCGGTCAGATAGGGCCGAAGCCCAAATGTTTTGTGTTTCATTCAACAATTTGACCGTTCTGACTGGTTTGGCCATGTTAATGGAAAGCGTTTATAGAACATGTCATTCTTACAAATCGTGTGTTTTTTGTTTTTCGAATTGCTACATTTTTGGCGGGAAAATGACGTCACAAACTTGCCGCTAAACTTTTATGCGCTTATTCGGTAGATGACATTGAAAGAGTTTCAAAACTGAAGTCTGTTTCGAAACACAACCATTCCTTGCGAAGGGATCATGACTCAAATTTCTAAAAATCGGCCATTTTCTTCTATTTTTAGTAACAAAATGGCCGATTTTTCGACATTTGTACCGCTTTATCTTCGTGAGAAATAGTCGTATTTAGAAACGGAGTCCAGTTTTATGACTCTCTAAATGTCGTTTACCGAATACGTGCGTAAAAGTAACAATAGTCAACTGTTAATTTTTTGACGGCAAGTTTGTGACGTCATTTTCCCGCCAAAAATGTAGCAATTTGAAAAACAAAAAACATATGATTTGTAAGAATGACATGTTCTATGTTTATGGGAAATTGTGTAGAAACAGGATGAAAATTAAAGAAATTGAAGCATGTTGGCGCTTTTGCTTGGAAAATATAGGCGAAGGGTTGCTGCATGCATGTATTTCTATTTTCTAGTTCTAGTTACATTGACGTCATCGTGTAGTATATGTATGTCAGTATTAAATATCAGTGTATTAGCTAGTTTTTTACACATTAAAGGCTATATGTCTGATAGCCGAAAGATCGCCAATAAAATAATTTTAAAATCTGCCATTTCGTCTTTAAAACTGTTCGCTCCAATAGTCCTATACTCCTATTTCGCTGAAATGCGAGATGACGACTCCTACCGTCATGCCATGCGGTCATCGCTATCAGGTACGTTCAATATTATTATAGGTTTTATTCTGTTTGGTATGCATGGGCTAAGCACATGCAGTACGTGATGCGTCCTGTTTGGACATAAGTGCAATTGAAAGAATGGTAAATGTTAACGGCGATGATAGATATATAGATATATTATTTTATACTTATATTGCGTAGATCACCTGTATATTTGGCCAACGCCGTCTCAACATTCAAATTTTTCAATTCAGATACGTTAACACAGATTGCCGAGGAAAATGGAGGTTTAGATATTTTGTGCAACAATGCTGGTATAGGTCCGACGGACGATTTTCAAAAACTAATTGACATAAACTTGGTAGGTACAATATGCACTTACTGACACTCAGCATATTTATTTATTTATTTATTTATTATATGCTTTGCCAATTTCACACAATCATATCTGCACAAATACAAACACAAGAATATACAAACTATCAATCAATCAATCAATGGCAGGGAATATGCTACAGCTTTGCGCCAATTACAGCAGCCCTTACAGAACGAACATGACACATTCTACATTAGATCTTTAGTAATATAAAAAGGCCAGTTTGCACCCAGGAAAACTCTCCGCAGGATGGTAACGGAAGGAAAGTTACATAGTGCTAAAGTCGTTAGTTTCAATGCCGTGCGCTCCTGCGGAAAATTTTATTGAGTGGAAATTAGCCGACAATGAAGCTTAACAAGACCAACACAGGGACACACATTAGAATTAATAACAACACGAATTTGAACAAGACAAATTACGGGACTTGTTACAAGACAAACATATAGACTTCCATGTTCTAGGATTTTCTGCGTCGTAAATGTTCAGAGCCGATTTGTAATATGACTGACACTATATTATACATGGCCCAAGCAATCCTACGAGGCTTTAACACAAAAGCAAATGGAGGGCAAGTATTGAGGTTCTTTCAGGGGCGTAACTTGACTCTAAGTATCGGGGTGGAGTCATTTTGCCCTGGAAAAGGGCGTGGCCTGCAACAAATGCCCTTCAAAAAGGCGTGGCCTGTAATACAACAATTATATAACAAATATATAATACAATAGACGCAATTATAGCGTTTTGACATTAGACGTTTACCATTTTGAAATGATGTATTATAGTCGACCCTTCATTATTGTCGATATTACAATGACATACTGTAACAGTAATATTAGCATATATATTAGTTCTTATTTTAACAGAGTTAGCTGAGTAAAAACCATCTACACATATGGAGTTCATTGCTTGAACCGAACTTTGAGTTTTCGATTTTTTCTGGTTGCCCAACTTTTCAGAATCACATTAAGATCAACCGTATCTGTTAAGTCCTTTTCGGTTGAAAGGACGATTAAATCTTGAAGCCGTTCACCTTTCATCGTTGACCGCAAATAATTCTTGACAATCTTCATTTTGCTGAAAGACCTCATTTTGCTGAAAGACTCTATGTCTGGCCACACTTCATGGCGCAGTAAACAGAAGTTTGTAGCATCTGTAAACGTTTGGGAAAATTTCTTTATTTTCAAAGGCAATCTTTCCTGTGTCATGGACGGTCTTACATGTTTCTTCAGTCTCATTGAAAAAGTTCACAAAATTCTCAAGTTCTGCAGCTAGTGACTAAGAATCTACTACGCTGACCGACGGAGGAAAACGTCCAGCGACTTTTTCAACTTATTCAAAAATTGGTTGGGTCATCAGAGGCTGAAGGATAACAGCTAAAGGTTTGATCTTTTGCAAACAATCCTTTATGTTTTTTCTATATTATGTATAGAGGGAATCGAGGACTTCAATTATACATTTTCGGTAGCTGGCGTGGAGTGAAATGACCGCCGACGTCTCAGGGTTGTCATCCAACCGTCTAATTATAATTCTACCACACTTTTTAGCAAACTCGTCCGCGGGATTGGAACCTAGCGTCTTCGCAAACTCAACACTGGCGTCTATTTGATATGAATTCAGATTCGGTGCTTCGAATTCTTTCCAACGACGTAACAGTTTGATCAATCAGTGCAAGACCATGCATCTAGGATATTAAGGTCTGGCTTCTGCATCTGCACAGTCAGGATATTGGTCTTTCTCATAATCAACCTCATGAACATAATAGCGCAAACAAACTCAAACTTGGCAATTTTCATTCGGAGAGAAGCTGCTTTGGTTCTTGTCAATGCGTCGTTGTCTTTCTCTGCTATTTCCGCTAAGGAATTTCTTATGGCTTCAAAAGAACTCCACATTAATTCAATTGATTCACTTCTGTACACCCATCTTGTCTGTGAGAGATTCCGTAGTTTGAGAGCCTTTTCAACTTGTTTCATATGATCTTGCAATACTGTATCTCGTTTACAGCTTTTGCTGAAAAAATACATAGAGCCAGATCTTCGGGCAAGCTATACATCTCGACAAACATGGAGGCTATTGAACAATGTACATTGAATGTATTCGACCTGGATAAAAAAAATTGAAAATTATACAGTATGCTAATTAGAGTGTATGTGCATTAAAAGACACGTTTTAAATAGTTAATTCCTAAGTACTGGTACAGTAATGTTCAACATCGCACTTGATATAATACCTATGATCTTGGCATGAGATATAAGGAATGCTACGTCCAATCAACTCCTGCAAACATTGTTGAGCCCCATTGAAAATCCTAGACATTGAGGTTGTGTAATCATAAGACTGATACACAAATGCATCTTCGCCACTAGGTATTCGTGCTTTAAGAGAGTCGAGAAACTCCTTCGCTTGACCTTTGCCCGCGGTTTTGTCTGTTGTTTCTTTCATCTCCAGAACTCTCTCGTTAGGGCAGGCATATTGTTTTCATCAACGTAACACACTGCCACAACGAGGCGGTCCGTATTTGAAGTATCCGGAGACGAATTGGCCTTGACCGAATACATTTCAGCTGAAACGACATCCCTTACTATACGATTCTTAACATCTTACACATGTTGATAAATTCATTTTGGGAACTGGGTGACAGGTATTTTACTGCATAAGGTTTCATGTTATCGTCGGACAGCCACGACTGAAGTCGACTAATGACTATTATGTCTTGCAACGAGATTTGTTATCTGAATAAAGTTCCCTTCGTGCTTTTCATCGTGCCCTCTGAAAGCCAGCTGTTGCCTTGCCAATGTTCTAGCGATGTCCAAAAGGATCTTTATTGCTTCTTGGTTTCGCCGATGGTTTTCTTCCTCGTGCATTCTGACTTCTCGTAATTTCTCTTTATAAAACCTCTATTTATATCTGTACTTACTTCATCTTAAAAATCTTATAATTACAGTTTGTACGGTTAGCCCAAATTAAAATTGTCAAAATTGGGAGGTTTCTTTTTAAATTTGTGCATGTAATTATATGATTTACGCAGTACATTTTAAACCTTCCGTACTTGTGCAGTGAGACTTATCGGGAACGACTTGCCAGTTTGGGCCTCTTACCGCTATCTTACTGGCATGAATACTTGGATCTCGTGTTCTTTTTCAAAGCGGTGAACGGCTTGGTCGACGTGTCCCATGACGTCCTCCCCGAAGTCATGTCTCAAACCAGAACGACCAGATCCTCCAGTGGCAACCAAATCTCCTTCCGTCCGGCCAAATGCAAAACCTCTACCTACCAACGCTCCTTCTTCATTCGTGCATCCAGAACTTGGAACTCTTTACCAACTACACTAAGATCTCCTGACATTAATATTAGGCAATTCAAAACTGATTTACAAACTTACTACCTGACAGCCCTGAGAGAATGCTTCAACGAAGAAGATCCGAGGACATGGAAAACTATATGCCTGAAGTGTAACACTAGCCGTTACTTACGTTCTGAACTAACTTGTTGTTTTTAGTCTCTTGTCCATGTACTGTATGTTATATGTTCTGTACTGTATGTGTATTTTTGTATAGGGCCCACAGTAATTGGTTTACTCTGTTGTGGTGTCCCTGCCATTTTTGTCCATGTTTATTGTCTAGATGTCTATTTGCTGTTCTGTTACGAGTTTTTGGCAAAGTTTAATAAATAAATAAATAAAGATGATATATTTGTCCCGATGCAGAGCAAATGTTGGCAATAATTGCCCTACCAAAGCACTGCCCTGCACATTTGCCCAACAAAATTGTAAGAACGCCTTTCTTTGCAGGAAATTGCCCTGCAATAACACTGTTTTCATCCCTTGGGGGTGTCACCCCCCCCCCCACAGTTACACCTCTGGGTTCTTTAATAACGTATAACATATAAGTGTAACAAGATTGTATTGAGGCACGATGAAAGCCACCTGTATGAAACACTTTCAATCGGAAAATTAATGTGCCTTTTCTTCCATTATACAGACAGCGATGATTTATGGTACAATATTCGCGATCGATCTCATGGACACAAGTAAAGGAGGAAAAGGAGGGAATGTTGTTAACATGAGTTCCATTGCAGGTAAATATTGCAACAACAACAACAACAGCAACGACAACGACACCGACAACGACACCGACACCGACACCAACAACAACAACAACAACAAACAACAACAACAACAACAACAACAACAACAAACAACAACAACAACAAACAACAACAACAACAACAACAACAACAACAACAACAACAACAACAACAACAACAACAACAACAACAACAACAACAACAACAACGGCAACGGCAACGGCAACGACAACGACAACGACAACGACAACGACAACAACAACAACAACAACAACAACAACAACAACAACAACAACAATCAACGTAGCAGCAGGCGTTTAGTGCGGGCGGGAGATGAGAGGGCGTCGTCGAGGAAACGCCTGTCCAAATGGCTATGACAAATGTGTTTTTGACCGAAAAACTTCGACTTAATTCCCATTGGTCAATCTCGTTGACGTACGGAAGTAATTACATAACTCAAATGTCAACAATAATTTTGCCCGCGTATATATTCTCATAAAAATATGGCTGTTAATGCTTTGAAGGAAACTCTTTCTGATATTTCTTTCTGATAAGTCTTTTAGGTTTCGAAATTCAGTTGAAACCAGAACAAAGAAAGTCTATTAATTCGCTACGTGGTAAAGACGTTATCGCGATTCTTCCTACGCTACGGGATACGGAAAAAGTTTGATCTTTCAATTATACATTATCGCCAAATCAAAGCTTGCATCCTGCATGCCAACACGAGCAGGGATCGAATATTTCTTATACTTGTCTTGTTATTTGTCCTCTTGAAAGTATAATTCAAGGTTACATCACTTGGCATTGCAGCCATGAAGTTGAACGATGATTTTAAGAATAACATTTCAAAACAAACTCAACTGTTATTTGCTACGGCAGAATACGTTAAACAACCGTGGTTCAGGAGCTTTTTAAAAGATAAAAGCTCTGTATACGTATTGTCTAAAATAGCATAAAATCTCCCTAGCTGCCGAGCAAAAACATGCATGATGCTAAATATAAATCTCGACTATGACCGGTGAAGGTGCTAATTACAAAACGTCAATCACCTTTAATGGGCGAAAATACATTTGTTATACCATTTGGGCAGGCGTTTCCTCGACGACGCCCTCTCTTCTCCCGCCCGCAATAAACGCCTGCTACGCAGGCTAATAACAACAAGGAGAGCAACAAGAGCAAAAACAACAACAGTAACAACAACAACAGCGACGACGAAGACCAAAAGACAGCAAGAACAATAAGATGAACAACAACCTGAATCATCTCTAAATTATATTATTGCCATTTTTTCAGGTCTAGATTTTTTTCCAACACCTGAATCGTCATATGACGCCACAAAGCATGGAATTGTCGGTTTCACTAGAAGTATGGCGCAAGTGAGTAAAATGAAATGTATATAATTATTCTGAAAAGTTAGACTATACTGTTTGTCCAGCTTCTTTACCCCATTGATCACGTTCTTTATCCCAATCAATCAATGATCATGTATGTTTAGCAACTTTATGCATCAGAATTAAAACCAATATTTCCCTGGTTGTAAGACGTTCACTAGGAACTACCTAGTATTAACATTCTTGACGAAATCAGTAGGCATCGCTCAAAATATTGGATCCTCTGCTTGTAGTTTTCAGCGTCACAATTACCAAACAACATTATTAGTTTCCTACAAATATAGCGACCGACGCTGATTTGCCAAGTTTAATGATTATTACCAACTCTGGTTATTATACAGTGGTGCAACGAAATGTCTGGGGAACGACGCAATTTACGCAGCTAAATCAATGAATTTTCAATTTCAAATGTTACAGAAAATCATTCAAGTTGGAGTAAGATTGAACTGTATTTGCCCAAGTGCTGTAGATACGAGAATGTTGAGAGAAACTTTCAAAAACGCCGATGTAAAAGAAATTTTCGATTCTTTGGGAATAACAATTCAAAGGCAAGTAATTATTAATATTAATAATGATAACACTATCTTCAGAAAATTATAACAATCGGTTTTGGTTAATGGTTGATTTTCGTTTGTGTCGTTGTTGTGGTGTAAACCATTAAATATAACAAACTAACAATTGGTGACTCAGCCCATCATATCACATCAAGCGAATTTTATACGTACGTTGTATTACGTTATGAATAGTAAGCATGCACATTTTCTGGAAACATGTTTATAATAGTGACTATATTTTGTTTTGTACCGACGTTGTTGCAAAGGGATTTCTACAGTTACTGGAGGACGAAGACAAAATAGGCGAAGCCATGAGGATTACATTTCAGAAAGGAATCGATTATCATCCATTTTCACAAGAACCAGTTCCATACTAGATAATATGTTCTACTAGAAGTTGCATTATCATTAAAAATACATTTTTAAAATACATTTTTATAGTTTTTTACAGTTTTGACTTAAAACGTATAAATACATGCATGGGGCGAATTAAAGGCCCTGTCACACTATTGCGTACGATAATTTTCATACGCACAATAATTTTCATACGCACAAAAATCCTTTGAAATGCCAGCGTATGAGTACCGTACATCTGGCGTACCTCTAGCGTATTCAGCGTGTGCCTAGAGCATGCTTATCGTATAAAGCCATACGCCCGATACGCACAAAATTTTTGAACATGCTTAAAAAAACACATTCTGCCTCGCCGTATGCCAGCGTATGCCACCGTATGCGACCGTGCTTGAAACATATACAACCTATGCCTAACGTACCCCTAGCGTATGTGAGCGTATACCGGCGTATGAGTGATATTTTTCATACGCTCGCTGGCATACGCTAGTACGATACGCAATAGTGTGACAGGGCCATTGATATCTATCCTGGCTTGTAATTTCCAATTTTCACTATATAAACACCAACCTGTTTGGAATTCCTGTCTTTCGCACATTAGGGCCATTTAAACGAGACAAAATAAGACGCGACTTACATAAGACGCGACTTAAATAAGACGCGAGTTTGTCGTATAAAAGGTACAAAATTCGTATGTAAGACGCGTCTTGGATAAGACGCGTCTTACATAAGAACAGGTCTTTCAGCTGTTCTTATTTAAGTCGCGTCTTAAATAACTGAAATTTTGGACAAAAATTCTAACTACACATGCCCGAAACTTGAAACAACGTAAAATTACTTGTCTTGCATATTACTGGTAAACCAAAAACAACCGAAACAACATAGCTATAGCAAGTAAATAAGACTAAAGCCGTAGAGAACCAATTATGCGATAACTCCGCTTATATAAGACGCGTCTTGTGTAAGTCGCGACTTATTTTGTCCCATTTAAATTGCCCTAATGACTCCACATGGGAAAATGTCATTGCAGCACCAGTCTCGTACCCAGAGAACATCTTACGCGCGGTCAACGGAGAACGACGAGGGACTCTGGAAAAACCAAAATCAGAAGAAGAAAAACCTGATTCCGGTCAAATAGCGCATGCTCGAATAATCCCTGAGCCACGCCCGTAGTGCGTAGGGCCAGGTAGGGCCAGGGCGCTGTAAAACACAGGCGGGGAAACGGCTATGGCGCCCCTGATCTATGTGTGATGCAGGCCCCCCCGCATATTTTGATTTTTATTCCATGCGTGGTCCGAACAGGCGTGCTTGTTTTGGCTTCGCCTTCGTTTTAAAATTTTTAATACGATGTGAAAAATACAATTCGAGCTGAATTCACAATGGATTTTGGGGTTCTGTGCTATTAGAAGACAAAAGCTTTTTTCAGGATTCTTAATAATGGTGTTAGGGAATGTTGTAGTTTAGATAAAGCCGGGTATTTCACTAATAATTTATAATACGGCTCACGAGGTGATCAGGATTTTTTGCAAAACATCTGTGTTTGTCTGTATGTTTATAAGATGAAAATATATAGATGAAGATAAGTTTTCAAACGGCTGTTGTCATAAACGCTGCAACTGGAATGTTTGTTTGGAAATCAGGTATGTTAAATTAGATGTGTTTTTAAACTTTTCCTATTAAAATTGGTAATTCTTTTTCATGTTGAAATGGCGAGAAGCTATATTTTAGATCTGGCAACGTTAAAAAGCTAGGCCAAAAGAAATGTTTTACTATCAAAAAAGCCGGTTATCCAATGTCATGTTTCGGATATATCATCACTTAATCTCGTAGAATACAAAGTTTTTGGGTATATTTCAGACCTAGGAAAACTTTTACGAGCAAAAATACAATTTTTCCGCGGTTTGTTTTTCATTTTTTATAAGTAATGTCCCGTGACAGTGTTCAATGGCGAGAAGCTATATTTTTGATCTGGCAACGTAAAAAAGCAAGGCAAAAAGACATGCTTTATCAAAAAAGTCATTTATCTAAGGGAGTGGTCATAAAGTAAGTGCTATCCCGGGGCGGAGGATATTTTTAATTTTGTGAACAAAATTTCATACCCCCACAAAATTGTCGGATAATATTTGATACCCCATCAAGATAACGGTCTCAATGTTTCATATCCCATCATAAAACGACAAGTTTACCGGGGGGTTTTCATGTTGATATGACCGGGGGTGCGCTGATAGGGCGCAAAAATTCTGTTGACTAATTGCCATTATCCTATAAGGTTTATTTTTAGTAAGTTTTATCTTTCTTTAACTTAAAAATAACAAAAAAGTAAAATTCACATCCAAAATGCTGTTTTTTGGCCCCATTGAATACGACTGCCTGTCAAAAAATGGCGAATATTGCTAATATTTTACCCATTTTAGTTATTTTATGTAAAGTGATAAAAAACATTTTGGATGTGATATTTTTTATGTTATGGCATACCTCAGACGTCCATAAACACCACTATTTTTCTTTACAAGCTGGCATTTCTGTACCATATGAAAAGACATACAACTGAAACTGGCCTGTCTCCCCATATAAACAATCCAAATAATTTTCAACCGAGTTTTCAACATCACTGATTTCACCATCATCACTGTGACACTGTCATTGTTGTCAAATTGTTCCATAAATCGCATAATATTCGCAATCGCGCATTGTGCTGAAACTGTAGCTCTTTTTGGTGGCATAACTTATTTAGTATAAACCGAAGAAACAATGAAGTCGATTAAGAAACGTTTGTAGAAAAAATACGAAATGGCGACCATGTTTTTATACCTGGCCAATATACTATGTGTTACATGAAGTGTAATGCAGGTGGACTACGAGCCTGCAGCACAGAGGAAGTATATACCATTGAACTATAAATAACTGGAAGGCTAAGTCAGGGGGGGGGGGAGTTGAAGCCGTGCTTGAAGCTTTTTTTGTAGGTAGACCCAGTCCTTTTTGAAATTTTTTTTCAAAATATGCACATTTTTTGATCAGAAAAATCTTGCTCCAAAATATTAGTTATACCACCGAATTTAACTTACATCAGTGATATGATAAACGAATTTAATATTCGCAAAGCAAACAAATCACGAATTAGCAAAAAAATACGAAAAAACACGACCATAAGCATGAACGGTCAGAAAAACTGCGCATTTTGACTGCTTTTTCTGAGTTTTTGAAAGTTTAAGGTGGTTCCCTAGGGTTTTTTAATTTACCACACTATAGTATTCAGGAGACTCCTGTTTCTTTACTTTACATGCTATGAAAACGAAATTTATTGGACACATTGAAAATGTTTTCCTGAACATTGCAAATTACTATTTTTGTGTTAAAAATATGTTGTCATGGCAACAGCATGCTTAGAATAAAGCTCAAAATTTGTCTTTTTCAGGTCATTTTAAAAATTCCCTTCGGTGAAATTTTTTAAAACTTTGCATAAAAGATAATACTTGTATAATGATTTGTTTTCCTCAGTTTAAAAAAATTAAATCGATACGTTTCTTAGAAAATTTAAAAAACGTCAAAACTCAATATTAAAAAATTTCCCTTCGATTTAATTTTAAGAAAAAAGGATACTGCACTTGTTGTGTCGATATTAAAAAATGTGCAAAGTTTTAAAAATTTTCACCGGAGGAAAACGGAGAAATTTTGGTTTAATTTTGGCAATTTTTACTAGATTTTTAAGCGAACAATTTAATACCCCAACTGACGTGTAACCCAACTGACGTGTAAGAACTCAAACACACTAAACCTAAAGATTGGTGAAAGGAGGTGAAACGTCTCTGTGGTCATCAACAAAAGTCGACGAGTAATATCTTTGCAAACCTGCAACAAGATACACAAGACCTCGATTCACTTAGTAACTTGATAAATGACTGTTTCTTGGAACCTATGAGCGACTACCAGCCACTATCTGATAGTACCATTACCATGACCGATAATAATAGTATAATTTGTTTGACTGAAGAAGAAGTTTTTAAATCATTAAATGGTGTTAAGCTGGGAAAATCCAGTGGCCCATATTGCCTGCCCAACTTGGTCTTAAAGAAGTTTGCAGTTATTCTAGCAATGCCAATCTCAATCATTATAAACACATCATTTAAGGAAAATCGAGTACCTGCCTGCTGGAAAATGGCTAACATCTGCCCAATCCCAAAAGTTAAACAGGTGATAGATGTTAATAAAGATCTTAGACCTATATCTCTTACCTCAACACTCAGTAAAATCGCTGAAGATGCCGTAATAAAATACGATCTAAAACCGGCAAGAATGGATCGCCTGGATTGTAACCAATATGGCTTCATACCAGGTTCTAATACCACCCTGGCTTTAATTACCTTAATCCACCGTTGGTCAAAGACAGTAGACAAAGAGGGTGGATGTGTGCGCTCACTGGTTACGGACTGTCGGAAAGCTTTGATCTTATAGATCATAATAATCTTTATAGAAAATTTCAGGGAATAGGTTTAAAAACATCAACTTTAAACTGGATTTCAGACTTTTTGAGGGGAAGACTACAAAGGGTAAAACTTTCCCCGAACTGTTTTTCCAATTGGAAACCTGTCAATGCTGGAGTCCCTCAAGGAACTAAACTCGGCCCATGGCTCTTTTTGCTGATGATCAATGACCTTGTAGTTTCTTACGATCAATTTGATGGGGATATGATGAAATATGCGGACGATACTAATATTTCAGAATACATCACCGATCAGGCAGAAAACAGTTCTCTGCAAGAAGTAACTAACTCTATTGTTGACTGGTCTGAAATAAATAAATTCCAGCTTAATCCATCAAAATGTAAAGAATTTGTTGTGTCTTTTAAACGGAATGAACCAAATTTCCCCCCATCAGTATTAATCAATCACAAATCGAACGAGCTGACAAAATATCGATTCTTGGTTTACCAATCACAAAGGACTTGAAATGGAACGATCACGTGGAAAAAATAGTCAATAAGGCATCCCAGCGAATTTACCTGTTGAAACAGCTCAGAAGGTTTGGACTTGATGCTGGTGATCTCAAGTGC